ATCTAGTTTAACCAATGCTTCCGACTGTTTCCGACTGTTTCCCACTGCCCCAAAACAACACAACACATCAGTTGAAAACAGTTAGGCGCACAACGCAACTAATCTAGTTTAACCAATGCTTCCGACTGTTTCCGGTCGTGTTCCAAATCACGGTCAGCTCCTGCTGTCCCACCAGTCCCACCTAGTTTGCACTATGTGTGTATGAGTCTGTCCATCCCACACTGCTGCCTGATGCCTCGGAATCTGATGTGGACACACTTGAGCTGGACACTGCACTTGACTCCTCTGATTTTACACCAGAGTCATCAAGCTTGGCGTGTGCAACTGGTGCATTGCCTTGGAGGAAGGGCTACTTTATATCAAGCTTGGTAATGTTTTGAGTCTTGATTGAGTGGGATATTGATTTAGTCGTTGGTACTATTGAAACGCAGGTCAATGAACAAAGTGAGTGAATAACAAGTGTAACATGACAAGAAATCACACAAATCAGTTCAACAAGAATGCACTATCTACAAGCACGTGGTACTCTTGGTAGGGCCGGAGCCCAAGTCCATTGCATCAGAACCCACAGATGGCTCCATGGCCAGCGGCTGACAACTATTGTCCAACACCAGCAGACGGACAGCATGTAAAAGAGCGTCACTGAAGGACCCCGTCAGTGATGATTGTTGTTATTAGTCACGATAACGACGGTCGACTCTTGACTGGACTCTATAACCATTTAACCACTGCTAACTGTTTAACTGCTAACTGCCAGGCGACAGGCGATCCTTCAAAGCAAAAAAAACAGCTGACAAGGGATGTCGAGCGGGTAGCGATGCAAAAAAGCCAGAACCCACATGCCAACATATTTAAACAAACAAAACAACTCCAAGGAACCGAACCCTGAACTTCCCTGAACCCTGAAACATCCATGCCCATCAATATGCAACTGACTAGACTAGACTAGACACAGTCAAGTCAACGCTGTTTAGTCTATTGTCATTGTATGTAATATTTGGTTGGTTACCGGTTGGTTGCCCCGGTTGCCCCTGTCAAAAAATACCATTGATATCGTTCGATCACCAATTGATTGTTGGGCTGAATATTTTTTTCTTGGCTCAGCTGCAGTGCAGTGCAGTGCAGTGCAGCTTGGCGTGTCTCTCAACATGACTCCTCACAGTGAGTCATGGCCTTGCCGCCCTCAAACTGTGCAGTTTTTTGCAACAGTTCCTCATCTGACCCCGCATCAGAAACGGACGGCACAATGCAGTAAAACATATGATGTTGTTTGCTGTCGACATCAGCGTCCATACCCTTCAGACACCAAGCCTTGAGTCGACGACACACATCTTCCTGCAGCAATTGGAGGCAGCCGCCGTCCACAGTATGTTACATCATGTTACAGCTTTAGTGACTTTACTTTAATGGGAGGCTCAATGCAAAAGCTTGTTGAAAGTAAAACATACATGTTGAGCATCTGACTCAAGCTAGAAGGCAGAATCATTGGTCATTGAAGACTCGAATACATTTAGATCATCCAGTCTAGTCATCTAGTCTAAGAATCAATCCTAGTGACCTAGTGCCAGGTGACTGAACATATTATCTGTCATAGTAACTGTCATAGGGACAAACGACAAACTATCCTCAGTGGGCTCTTGGTTCACGCGCATAGACTTTGTGCAGCCCTGGTGGATGCAACATACCGCTCGCCATGTTGGAAGTGTTCCTGTTGCATAGTAGGCAAGGTAGAAGTCCCCAAAGTAGTGGCTTTTCTCATGAGGTCCTGCTCTTGTTCCGCCCTTCTTTCGGCTGGCCGACGATTCCGTGGCGGCCGCTTTTGGCTTGGGTTCCTCGTTTCATTTCAGAGCACCACACCAATCGACCATAGACTTCACCAACATCAGACAGACTATCAAACAAACAGTGGGCATACCTATACCAGTGTAGGTGCAAGTGAGAGTAAGTGACACTGTAAGTGTAAGTTCAAGGTCATCCATCCTTCCCCAGTTCGCCCCAGTTACCAGTTCAAAAATAAAAAACTTTCTATGGGGCCAACCAAGACAAGTGGCTGCCCTCAGTTGACCTGATTTTTTGCTGGCTGAAGCGTTTATTCTTGTTGATGGTGCTGCAGAAGATTCGTCTTCAAGCGGCTTGAGAACTTCAACTGCTGGCTGGTGACCATGTTGACCATGTGGCGCTATGTGTGAAGCTGGCTGCTCCTGTACCCTCGAATCAGCCAGCGCAGGGCGTTCACCGTCACCGGTGTCATCAACAATCACCATATCAGCATTCCCCAGCCGCAACGATGGCGTCTTCTTTTCTTGCCCCTTGACAAGGTCCCTGTAAAGCTTTGCCTTGGCAGAACAAACCTACAACGAACAAGCTTGAATAAACATTGACAAGCTGGGGGTCATGAAGACAAGAATCCATCGCCACCCCAGCCCAGCCCACCCCACCCCACCCCACCGCCACCACCGCACACCGCACCGCACCCCTATAAGATGATCATATACAAGGTGATTAGTAAAGCCAAGCCAAGCCAGTGAAGGTGAAGGTGACCTGACTCATTTGACTCATCTCATTTTGTGTGTCTTGTTTGACTGTAACTTAGCAAACTTAACTTGTCTACTTTCAAGTTCAAGTGGCTGGTTTCCAGGGCTCAATTGCCAGCAAAAGCTGATTTCCTTTGCCAGATGAAGCTTGATCAAGGCCAGCCAGTAGAGCAGTGTAGTATGACTCAATTTGGCCATGGAACAATTTAGCAAGGCCTGCATCAAACAACTTCTGAGACTGCAAAAGGCACACCAAATAGTTCCCAAAGAACCGGCCATTGCGATCAGAGTACCATGTTTTGGGACTGTCACCACCAGTGAAGGGCTGCCGTGCTTCTTGCTGATGGTCCCGTAACGAACGCTGTGTCCAACCATGCTCTGTCATCATCAGTTGAAGTTCCAGTTGAGTATACTGGTCAAATGACACATTGGCTCGAGGGGCAAACACTCGCCCAGGCGTTGCAAGCCACAAAGAATGTTCCACAAACTGCTCAACTGCATTCGATGTTAGGACCCAGTGCCCCTCATCAAGCCCTGCTGATGCTACCAAGCCATCAGCCTCCAGGTGCTTCATAGCACAAATTGTATCATCGTCCCCGAGGTCATCAAAGGTGATAATTCCACCTGCAAAGTTTGGGAGTAGGAGAAAGGCCTCCAAGTTAAGCCCTGGGCCCTAGCAAACTCCAGTTAAAGCCAACAAAAAAAAGGAAACTCTGGCCCAGTTGAACCATTGAACCAAATATGTATTATGTATGGAAAAACAATAAAACGAGTTTACGGATTACAGGGTCAGGGTGACAAACCCTCTGTTCATCGGTTTCAGACTCTGACTGACTGACTGTCTGGGACTCTGGAAATCCAGAAAATAAAGGAGGTACAATGTTAATATTTGTTCTGAAATCAGAAGCCAGTCCTGGAAAAGCCGAGGCATCCACAAGTGGCTGCAAGGCTGGCATTTTGCACTGAACCACTACACTTGATCTTCCTGATTGGTCCACGGCAAGCCGCACCATAGTGTTCATCAGCACATCAGGGTCTAATGTACTGAATAGGTCAGCACAGTACCTCGGAGGTTCCAACATTTACAGATTCCAAACACTGATGTGTTGGTTCAATCAATAGAGAACAACAACAACAATTGAACAAACACATCAGCCAAGTCAAGGAACACATCTGATCCTGGTACACGGGCAACTCGAACA